CACACACACACACACACACACACACACCACTAACACAACAGCACAGTTACTGAGATTTAGTATTTCAAAACCGTACAGAGGCAGGAAATTTTTCGTGACAACAACAGCCAGATGGCGCCTTAAGAACGCCAATAATCTAATTTAATCTAATCTAATCTAAGTAAAAGACACATTTTGCAGTCATTGTCCTCATGGATGCACTTAATAAAATGTGTTATTATTTTCTGAATTAAATACATAACAAAATTATTGATAAAAAGGTACGTGATTTTCTCAAGTTCAACTAAATGTGCAATATTCACGAAGAGGAAATGGTTCTTAAAGAAAACAGCTCTAATGTTATAATTTCATTAGTAGTATTAATGGCATTCTTGACGACAGCCTGAAGTAATTTCATCAATGTGAATCACGTAAAAACGGTTATATTTAATTCTTTTAAAAACAATATTCTTTTTGTCTTTTAAAGGCAATTAGTGAAAGTATAGAATCTATGTTATAGCTAATGACATTATCTATAGGATCATTCGGGTTGTCAAAAAGGTAGTTTTTTTTACGAGGGGGGGGGGGAGCACACAGAAAAGAAGCAAAGGGAACACACCCATTATTCTCACACTAACACTAACAAGATATTAAGCCAAAAAAAATGTTTTACTGTAATTTTACGCAAAGCAAGATAAGCAGCAACAGCAGCAGTGGAAACGCTACCTTAGAATAACAAAGTTCTATCTGAAATTTTAAAAAATATTTCGAATTGCTAAGATCATGAGGTCAGACATCAAATATTCTGTCTGCTCTATCAAAATCGAACGTTTATTCAGAGTCGTTATTAAGATAATATTCAAAGAATTGCATTCGGAAAAGCTTGACATTTTGTAAAGTTCGAAATCTGTTCTGTCAAATTTCTCAAAACTATAGGTACTGAGGAGATAGCACTTTGTAATTCTGGGGATAACAGAGAGAACGTTATAATTATGGAGGTAACAAAGAGAACTTCGTAATTCTGAGGGGTAACGAAGTAACAACATCAACAACGACGACGAGGAAGACCACACAAACACCAATAAACCAATGAATAAAAGGGGTGTGACGTTGTGTGACGTACCGTTGCCGCAGTCCGGCCCGTGGTATCCCTGGAAGCAGACACACTGGCCGTTGATGCAGTGGCCATTTCCCATGCAGTTAGGTACGGCGCATTCCGACTCTCTTAGGTCACACTCGTCACCCTTCCATCCCTGGTTACACTGGCAGTGACCTCGTCGGTACACGCCGTTCCCGCTACACAAGAGGGGGCACACGCCTGGAGGGAGAGGGGGGGAGAGAGAGAAAGGATAAATTAGATGGATTTGATTAACACCCCTGTCAAACACTGTATGAAAGCAATCAATTGTCTTTGTCTTCGTCGTCGTCGTCATCATCATCATCATCATCATAATATACATACTTAACTGTATAAATGCAATCTATTGCCATCATCATCATCATCATCATCATCATCATCATCATCATCATCATCATCATCATCATCATCATCATCATCATCATCATCATCATCTTGAGAGTAGAGGATAAAAAATAATTGTAAAGATTTAACACCCTTGTCAAACATTGTAAGGTTATTCAAAAGACAGGATCTCCAGATAATAAGCTATAGTTTTAGTAAGAGTTGCACGGCACTTGCAACACAATGAGGTCATATAAGTGCCGAAGAATAGGCCTAGATCTATGGTTCGTTTTGTTTTCTTTCGTCTGATCGTTTTTCTATTCCTCTCTAACGATTTAAAAATATTTGCCCTTCCCCCTCCCCCTTAAAAAAAGACAATAACAGTAAATCAAATCACAATAACAAAAACATGACGATACAAGTCTGAACACCGCGGTTCAAATATGGACCAACGGGCAACAAGAGATTTCTATCTCCTCCTCATCATCAGCAACAGTTTGATGGGTATGCATGAGGATGTTTAATGTATTGGGGCAATCCCAGCTTAACTCAAGGAACACTGGTCAGAAACGAAATAAATATTTATTATCTTGGACTTGCAGAAAAGTGGAAGGGAAGGGGTTGGGGTGGGGCGTGGGGGAAGGGGGGAGGGAGGACAGGGAGGCAGAGAGAGACAGGAAGAGAGAGAAATAGAGAGACACACACAGAAAGAGAGAGAGAGGG